CCTGAGCAGATCCCAGCTGCTCGGTACACCGCCAGCAGGGTGCGTGAATCACCGAGCGACGCGCCTTGCGCTGCCGCACAGAGCGGCCCAGAACCTGCGTCCACTCCCGCCCCGCCTCCACCCAAGTCACGGCTGCTTCCTCTTCACAGCGAGACGTCTCCTTCAGCCACAAGGGCCTACTTCCTGAAGGAGTACTCGGATGTGCTGGTGACGACGGAGGCCCTACGGACCGCGCCACTGAAGGCTATGGCGGGTCCACCTATGAGGATACACCTGCGGGAAGATGCACAGCCGTTTGCCATACACACTCCCCGGTTGATCCCTCTCGCCTTCAGGGATTCAGTCAAGAAGGAACTGGATTCCATGGTGGCCCAGGGTGTCATCGTACCCATTGGTGACGACCTGTCCCCTTGGTGCCACCCTCTAGTCGCTGTGGCTAAGACTAACGGCGGTGTGCGAATTACTACCGACTTGTCCAAGCTTAACAGCCAGGTGTCCCGTCCCGCCCACCCTTCACCCACACCTTTTGCAGCTATACGGAGTGTGGATCCGAAGGTACGGAACTTCTCGACGATGGACGCCCTCTGTGGTTACTGGCAGATCCCACTGAAGAAGGAGGATCAGCCACTGACCACTTTCATCACGCCTTACGGACGCTTCCGCTACTGCCGTGGCCCTATGGGATTCGCTGCTACGGGGGACGCCTTCTGTCTCCGTGGTGACATGGCACTTCAAGGCGTGACCAACTGCGTGAAGGTAGTGGATGACGTCCTCCTCTACGATGAGGACTACCTGACGCATCTTCGCCGCATCGACGAGGTACTGACCAGGTGTAGGACGCACGGCATCACTCTGAATGCCGAGAAGTTCGTCTTGGCCGCACCTGCAGTGTCTTTCTGCGGCTACCGACTCTCAAGGGATGGCATTGCTGCGGACCCGGAGAAAGTTCGCGCCATAGCGGACTTTGCAAAACCTGCCAACCTTATGGATCTCAGGTCTTTCATGGGCCTGGTGAACCAGCTGGCAGAATTTTCTCCTGACGTCTCCGCCGCTGCCGGGCCTCTCCGCCCCCTGATGAGCCCCAAGAGGACTTTCACGTGGACCCCTGGCCACGACCTCGCCTTTCATAAGGTGAAGGAGGCCCTGTCAAGTCCACCTATCCTAACTACTTTCGACCCAGCGCTCCCCACCGTCCTCCAGACAGACGCCTCGCGCCTGTACGGGGTTGGTTACGCCCTTCTCCAGGATCACGGTGGAGGAAAGCACCGGCTCGTACAGTGTGGCTCTCGCTTCCTCACCGATGCTGAGTCTTGCTACGCTACCATCGAGCTGGAGCTGCTGGCAGTGGTATGGGCCTTATCGAAGTGCAAATTTTACTTGATTGGCCTACAGCACTTCGACCTCATCACAGACCACAGGCCCTTGGTCCCCATTCTTAATCACTATTCGCTGGACGCCATCGAGAATCCCCGCCTCCAGCGCCTGAAGGAGAAGATTTTGGCCTTCGTCTTCACCGCGGCTTGGCGCGCAGGAAAGGAGTTGTGCATCCCGGATGCCCTCTCCCGCTCCCCAGTCAGCCGCCCTACACCTGAAGACGAGATGCTCAGCACCGAGGCCGGTTTCTCCGTCAGCAACATCGTCACTTTGCAGGCCGTACAGTCCCTCGCCAGCACCCAGGCCTCAGTGTCGCCACCCGACAGCGATCTGTCCCTTGAGGAACTACGGACCGCGGCACGCGACGACCCCTCCTACACTCAGCTCTTGGAGAGTGTGAGGACTGGGTTCCCTCGCGACCGTTTTGACCGCCACAACGCCCTACGCCCGTATTGGAAGATACGTGAGGACCTCTACGCAGATGGGGACCTCGTCCTGTACGGTGCCCGTGTGGTTGTCCCTGCAGCTCTCCGTCGTCGCGTTCTGGCCTGCTTACACGACAGCCATCGTGGAGCAGAGGCCACCAAGCGCCGCGCAAGACAGGCTGTGTACTGGCCCGGCATTGACGCGGATATCGTCAATACGGTCCGTGCCTGTGAGCCGTACCAGATCATGCAGCCCAGTCAACAGCAGGAGCCCCTCTTGTGCGACGACGAACCCACCAGGCCCTTCGAGTCCGTGTCGGCTGATTTCTTCAGCACAGATGGGAAACATTTCCTAGTTGTGGCCGACCGACTCTCTGGCTGGCCTGTGGTGGTAATCTGTGGCTCGGACACGACGTCGCGGCCACCATTCGTCACTTCCGGCACCTCTTTCGTGACCTGGGCGTCCCCGTACGTCTGCGGACGGACGGTGGGCCACAGTTCACCAGCCGGGACTTCACAGGATTCCTGGAGCGTTGGGGAGTCCGCCACATCGTGTCAACACCCCACTACCCACAGTCAAACGGCCATGCTGAGGCTGCGGTCAAGACAGTCAAGCACCTCATCCTCAAGGTGGCCCCTTCAGGCAACATAGACTGTGAGGCGTTTGACAAAGGACTCCTGGAGTTACGTAATACTCCCACCCACACAGGACGCTCCCCTGCCCAGATCCTGTATGGTCACCCTCTCCGCTCTTGCGTTCCTGCACACGCCAAGGCCTTTGCGAAGGAGTGGCAGACCAGAGCCGAGAGCTGCGACCGCCGCGCCGCTTCACGTGCCCAGGACGCCAAGGCTCGGTATGACGACCGTGCCCGCCCTCTTCAGCCACTGGAGATTGGTCCCCTTGTCCACGTCCAGGACCCGACGACGACACGTTGGGACAAGGTGGGCATAGTGATGGGCGTCGGCCTGTCGCGGGACTACAAGGTCAGGATGCCGAGCGGCCGTGTCTGGTGGAGGAACCGCCGCTTCCTCCGGCCAGTCCCACCCCCTGCTGCTGGCCCCCTGACCGAGGACGAGTCTCCTACACCTCACGAGGATCCGCCCCACAGTGCACCTCGACGCTCGGAGCGACTTAGGACTAAGAAGTCCGCTCAAGACAAAGACTATGAGCGTGAGGGGGGAGGGAGATGTAGGTTATGTATCTAAGCTACTGTGCCGAGTAGCAACCTTGTATATAAGCTACTGTGCCGAGTAGCATCTATGTATATAATTACGTGGCAACACTGCACGTGTTATGTGGCAACATTGCCCCGAGGCTGCCATATGGCAAGGGAGTCTCAGTCTGACTTCTTGAGCCGTGCATGGCACACGCTAGTCACAGCTTGTATTTCTCCTATCCGAATAAATGGACTTCAGTGTTACCCGGTGTTTCCCTACCCATCACTGCCTTCTTCAGGGAACACTTGGAACCTTCAATAACCACAAGGAAAGAAGAAAACACGAAGTTCCCAAGCGCTTTCGTGTAATTCACATCTTCAGGGGTGAGTACAGTCTGTACGCACCCCTGAAGATGTGAATTACACGAAAGCGCTTGGGAACTTCATGTTTTCTTCTTTCCTTGTGGTTATCAGCATATACCTAGATCACGCGCACCTACAGTGATTTACTTGCATATATATATATATATATATATATATATATATATATATATATATATATATATATATATATATCCTAAAGTACAAATGAACCATAATACAGAGTAACAAACTCTACACAATATTAAAAGCTTTCTAAAAACAAATAAATAAACTAATTAATCAAAATCAAGAAATGAAATCATCTCCTTGACATATGTACCCGGTATGTATGTATCATCATCCAGTAGTACATACAAGTCATGCATATGATACTATCTCACTCATACTTCATGCAGTCTTTTAACCCACACATCCATCAAGCAGTCCATTCATTATCACTGGCTATACATAAATATCCTTAAAATAAAATGTGTGCTGTGCGACCCAAATCATTTGATTAACCACTTGATGGCAAGAAGAGTAAAAGCAAGAAGGAGAAAGACAAAGAACACCTTGAAAAGCCGCGGGTCCACGAAAACATCGTGTATATGCGATCCATGTCAATGCTGAACTGTTTGGTACGACAAGAGGAATAGAAAGAGAAAGACAAGTAACACCTTGCAAAGTCACGACACAAGCAAATAACATTATATCTAACCATATGATGTTGACGGCCAGCAAAACAAAGAAACCACCCAACGCAAGTTAACCACAGGCAGCTTGATTCTCTTGGAAGAGATTTTAGCTCATTAGAAATCGCGTACTTTAGCGAAGCAGTTAATCTAACAAATAAGGCCAGTCTGGTAGCTGGAGAAAGCACCTCACCTCTCTGTGTGAGAGTTAACTTGACATCTCTGTGTGAGATGTTAGTTTTAAATATTCTGGAATCTTGTAAGGATTTAGGCAAGATATGCCTTGTTAAATATTCAGGTGAATTACCCTGATATCTGGTAGGGATTCAGGTGAAACCCAGGTACACTGAAATTACCTGAAATGTTAATACTGTACCCGGCCCAGTGTCAGTGATTACGTCAAACCACGGCGCTATTCCTCTGCCGAGATGTGATTGATACTCAATACATTTTAGTGATTAGCGTTGTGAACATATACGTGTGGATACCACCACGACATATTGATGTGAAGGATATAACAGTGTAATCCTAAATTCGTTAAAAACACCCCCCATTAATAATTCCTCCACTTTGTATAGAGCCGGATAATTGATTGTAGTTGTAAACAGTGAAGTCTTCCATCAATTTTATTGCAAATTATTATTCTAACTGACATAGCACAACTATGATATGTCATACAATGATGATATGAAACAACGTTAATATGATATATAAATGCTTGACATAATACATAACGTTAACAAAACACACTGCTGGCATGACAGACGACGATGACATGCAACACAAAGTTATCATGACAAAGTTGTCATAATATTGACACATGATATGTGGCCCTCGCTGCTGTAACACATGACCTGTCACACTTTAATCGTATACATGTAGTGTTGGAACACTTTATATTCTTTTCACCATTTCAGTGCTCTCGAACTGAAGTTTCCCTCGTCAACTAGTCGCTGATATGAGTTATAACTCCAGATGTGACTACTCACCTAGAGCGAGGCTGATGGCGTAGCCGAAGGGGGCCTGGCACCAGAGGAGTCCTTTGCTGTACACCGCTTCTGCCGACCCGTTGATATAACCTCCACCGACCCACGTGGCTGTAGAACAAGAGAATGACTATTATGTGAAACAAGCACGAGGCTCTTAATAATTTATAATTCCTGTGTTTGCCAGGCCCATGACTACTCTTGTGTCAAGCTGAATTGATGCAATATTATCAGTTAGCTGGGAATGTGTAGCTTTTCAGAAAATCTACATACTTTCACTGCAGACCAGTGTAAGTGATAGGGTTATAATAATGAAGGATTTAAATTATAGGATGATTAAAGAAAATGGATTGTAGGGAAATATGGAGTGCCAGGAAATAATGAAAATGAATACAAGCTGATATCATCGTAGGGTGAACAGTACATGGTTCAAAAAATAAAATAAAATAAATCTACATGGTGGCAGGACAAAGGTGAAGTATTCATTGTAGACGGAAGTTAAAATAAATAATTATATCGATACTGATGTTGATGTACTACGAGAAGCTACACAAGGAAAGTCTGCCCAATATTTGGAAGTAGTGAGGATGATAGCAAATTGAAGGTTCAAGACGAAAGAGAATAAGAAAAGTCAAGTTAGTGTTCAGGAGTTGATGAGCTGAGGAAATAAAAACACTCTTTAAATTAAAGAAACGTCTAAGTAAGAAGTAGAACACCGAGACAAGTTGGCCACATATACATAACTGAAACAAGGTGGCCACATGTATATAGCTGAGATAAGGTGGCCATATGTACTGAATATAATTGAGACAAGGTGGCCATATGTATATAAGAGACAAGGTGGTCACATGAATATAATTGAGACAAGGTGGTCACATGAATATAATTGAGACAAGGTGGCCACATGTATATAACTGAGATAAGGTGGCCACATGTACTGTATATAACTGAGACAAGGTGGCCACATGTACTGTATATAACTGAGACAAGGTGGCCACATGTATATAGTTGAGACAAGGTGGCCACATGAATATACCTGAGACAAGGTGGACACATGTACATAACTGAGATAAGGTGGCCACATACTGTATATAAAACTGAGACAAGGTGGCCCCATGAATATAACTGAGACAAGGTGGCCACATGGATATAACTGAGGCACGGTGGTCACACGGAACTCACATGTCTCTCCCGGACCGCTGCGTCCTTAATCTGTCAATATCCCCCTCTTCGCCCCATCTACCGTAACTATAAGAAGAGTTTCCTGAAAGCTCATAGTCTCTAAAACAAATTCAAGTTTTTGAAAGATGAAATGCATCTGTTAGATTTGAATATTGAACATGACATATTTCTCAAATTGATATGCGTTATGCTTTACTGGCAATGTTTTTAAGGCAAATGGAAAGTTTTATAAACAAATATTTGGCATGAGAATGGGTAATTGTGTTTCTGCTCCTTTAGTCTGTATTTATATGGATTTTTATAAAGCTTTTATTCCACTATGTTACAGATATGTAGATGATGTTTTTTGTTTATGGCCTAGAAACAGTGACCCCACTGGAATATTTGGACAACTTATTCATCATGTCCCTAGTAATACCTTCAAAATTGAAAGAAAAATAAATGGATCCCTTCCATTTTTTGATATGCTTATCATGAGAGATGGTCAGAACTATACATTTAAGGCGTATAGAAAGCCTACAAAGGTAGACAGTTTCATACATTTTTTATCGAGTCACCATGAGTCTACCAAAATGTATTTTTTTCGAAAATGTTTTTGAGATGTTTGCGAGTTTGTAACCCTGAATTTATTGAAGAACAACTGCAACATATTCAGTTTATTGCGCAAAATTTTTTTTACCCTTCATTGTTTATTGATCGTTGTCTTAAAAGGATTAAAACATCCCTTTATTGTAATCATACTAGACAAATTGCTAAATTTAAGGATATTTTGACTCTACCTTATCGAAAGAAATTTGTCCCATTAGTTCAATCCCTTAAATTACTAAACATTAATGTTGTTTTCAGTATGACTCAACTATTACTAATATATTAATTAAGAACAGTCCAACCTTGAATGTAAATGGAAGTGTTTACTGTATTCCATGTAGCAATGGTAATGGAAATTACGTAGGTCAGACTGGGAAAGCTTAGAATAAAACAGCGCAAGTTTAATAGAAGAACAGCATCTGAAAGCAGTACACTTTTCGTTCATATTAGGAACAATAATCATCTCATGGATTGAGAAAACAGTATAGAAGTGTTTAAATCAACATGTGTCACAGAAAGACTTCTTGTTGCAGCAAGTTTGATTAGGGAAATGAATTCTCAAAACCTTAATGATGGTTAGTACAGAACTGATAATATGTTGCATAAATTTATTTGTCAGTGGCCCAAGGTTAAAAATGCTTTGAAAGCATTTGAGGTGGATGTAGGGTAGATGATTAGTGGGTCTCATATTTTTGACCTGATTGTTAGGTCGCCCATTTTTATAAGCTCTTCTTTCGTTTGTGGTAGAGGTGGAGGTGAATTAGTGGATCCCATGTTATTGACCTGACCTGATGTTATGTTGGGTCACCCATTGTATTAAGCCTCTTTCAGTCCCTGTAAATTCAGTTGCCTCTGAAGACGAAAGACGAAAGCTAAGGTGCTCCTGTGTTTCCCTTTTCCTGTGTGGTTTATCGATATATATATATATATATATATATATATATATATATATATATATATATATATATATATATATATATATATATATATATATATATATATATATATATATATATATATACAGTCAACACCTCAACCCGGTCACTGTCATGGGCTCGTGGGCCGTGGGTTCGAATCCTGGCGGGTTGAGGTGTTGATTGTATGTAGAAATCCGCGTGTTTATTGGGCTAATGAAATATATATATATGCTGATAACCACAAGGAAAGAAGAAAACACGAAGTTCCCAAACGCTTTCGTGTAATTCACATCTTCAGTACCCACCCCTGAAGATATATATATATATATATATATATATATATATATATATATATATATATATATATATATATATATATTTCATTTAATCCATATAGCACGCGGACATAATCAACGACCTCACCAGCCAGGACTCGAACCCTCGACCTTATGCATGTGTCCAGATATTGCTACCACCTTACCACAAGGACACTAAAAACAATCCCCGACTTTGTTATATGTTATATGTTGAAGTCCGCAGGTATTGCTATAATTCTGTCGGATGCACTTAAGGCATGTTCATTGGTGTGAGTAATATTTTTTAATGTTTCATACGCCACTAAGTGATGTAGGATGTATGAAGGAATTGTTTCAGATGAGTTCCTCGTTCTGGTGTTTGTTCTGGTGTATGTAGTACTGCTACATTATTGTTCTTTTTGGGTGCAATTGATATCTTTTAATAATTTTGTTGATACCATGTATAATTTTTGTTTCCCATTGTAGCGTTGTAAGCCACGCAAGAAGTACTCTAGTGCTTGTGTACAATTATTGATTCCGTCTATAGTGTTGGAAGGAATAGAAGTGCGTATTTTACCAGTGCGTCTCATTAACCCCAATCACAGGTACTAGTTATTCCACGGTCACAGAAAATACTTTTATTAATAGTGTTTGTGCTGGTTCGGTGTTCTCTGAGGGGCGCTTCCACTGCATTACCATCCACTATAACTCAAAAAACCCAATAGGTAGAATTCCGACCAGTGAGGTAATGTTTTGCAGGTAGGCTCTAAATTCCTCATGGTGATCAGGGATGCTCTCTGCAAAATTTTTGTCAACATTAATAAAATATTCATTGAAGTGGTTGGCAATGAGGGAAGGTTTCGTTACAAGTGAATCATTAATCATAAAAGCTGAGTGGGGGGCCGAAGGCTGAGTGTTCATGTTCTGAATAGAATTTATGACATTCCAGGTTTTCTTATTGTCGCCTGGTGCTGACTGGAGGATATTTGTATAATAGTTACGTCTGGTATTTCTAACTGCTTGAGTTACTCTATTTCTGATACTTCGGTAAGCATCACCGAAAGTTATGGGTCTTTTTGCAAATTACCTTTGGAGTTTGTGTCTTTCTTTTATCATTATCTTAATTTCGCTTGTGATATAGGGTTTGGAAATGGATACAGTTTTCACTGACTTAGTCTTGAGCGGGAAGCATTTATCAAAGCAAGCATTGAAGATGCAAGAGAAGTTGCAGCTGTTCACGTTAGGGTTGTCGGAAGCATAGACAAGATCCCAGTTAGCATTCATTAGGTTGCTTTTAAAAAAGGAGCATGTTGTCGGTGCAGTAGTCCCTGTATTGTATTGAGACTCTACTAGGCCTTTCAGGTCTTGTGGCTGTTTTATACATGGCAAAAACTGGGAAGTGATCTGAGATATTGCTATAAATAATTCCACTTGCAAGATTGTTAGGGGTGTTGTTAGTCCAGATATGATCTATCACAATGGCAGAGGTGGCAGTTACTCTAGTGCACTGGTTCCCAAACTGGGGGCCATGGCCCCCCCCAGCAAAATTTAGGGGGCCATAAGCTGAGGCTATGTACACATAAAAATCCCAAGCCCCACCACACTAGCACAGCCAGTCAGCAGCTGAGCCAGCCAGAGATATGGATTGGGAGAGGGGGGCCATGGATAAGGATCATATATGAAAAGTGGGTAATGATCAGAAAAAGTTTGGGAACCACTGCTCTAGTGGGATTGGTTATAGTGTTGAAGAAGAGTTTAGAATGACAGGTACCGCAGCAAGAAGGTCTAATACTGAGGTGTAGGTTTCTGATTTTAATATATCAAGGCTGAAATCTCCTGTAATGTAGCAATGTTGCCTCTCTGAACTTATGATAGTGATAAGCTCCATAAATTTATCAAGAAAATTCCTTACATTAGTGTGGGGTCTTCTGTAGATTACTCCTACTAGGATATTTCATGTGTCGTTACGTAATTCAATGAAAACACTCTCCATGTACTCCTCCTGAACCTTTAAATCATCTCTTACAGAAGTGTTATACTTGGTATCAACATATAGGGCGACACCACCACTGTGTCATGACGTGTTGACGCAGTGTCTATTATAATTAGGAATGTTATACAAATGGTC